TTCATGCTTGCATGTCCTTGTGAGTCTGAGCCTCCGTGCTTAGGGGCGTACGCACGAGGAAAGGCCGCTATAGCTGGGCCTCCTGCCCCGCAGCCCGCTTCTTCCACAGTGTAGGTCATTCTGGAAATGAGAACCTCTCTACATTTCCTCCTCTGGAGCTGCGGGACCAGGAGGACATCAGGGCAGCCCCTCCTTCCTCTCCCTTCCCCCTCATACACAGAGATCCCAGGAAGAGTGCATCAGGGAGCCCCCGCTGGGGTGGAGGAGGGGTGCAGGGCCATCTGGTGTGTTCTGTTCCCACAATCTGCTAATGGAGCCACTTCCCAGACTGGCATCCAGTCAAGGCTGGCCCAGAGAGACAGTGCCGCTCACAAGTTCACCACCATCCTCCCTCGGGAGACCGCCTGGGTAAGAAGAAGCAAATCTGCTCCCCAGGTGCAGAGACAGAGGCCCAGACCCACTTGCTACCCCAGCCCAGCCAGCCTACCTCACTCATTACTGCAACACCAATTGTGCATTGAGCGCCTCCCATGGGGTGGGCAAGGTGCAGGGCAGCTCATTCCATCTTCCCCATAATGGAGGACCCACCCATTTCACAGATGGGGAAGTGGAGGCCGGAGAGGTTGTGTAAGGTACACAAAGTAAAGCAGCTACTAAATAAAAGCCAGAGCTTAATCTGCACCCAGGTCCACCTGACTCTCCTGTGCCTGGCTCACTGCGTTCTAGGCCAGACCCTGAGAGAAGCCCAAAGGCATAGAGTCTGGGAGCACAAGCAGGGTGGGGGTGGGGAGCAGGCTATGGCCAGGACATGAATATGGGATCCCTCCACTTAGGCATCTTCCGCCCCCATCCAGGACACCCACGCAGGACCCGTCCCCCCTCCCTCCCAGGGGCGCTGGAAGCACCCTCCTCCCCACCCTCCACAGGGCCAGCCTCCACTCTCTGCCACTGGGCTGGGCCTGCACCCCTCCCTGTGCGGTGACAGCCTCTCTGCAAACGCATTGACAGTGCCTTTGTTCCCCTGAAATAAAAGAAAATCGAGCTACAAAGAGAAACCTCAGGTAGCTTTTAGCGGGGCTCAGCTGCCTGGGGCAGAGTGTGTTTAAGCTAGAGGCAGTTGTCATTGCAGTAGAAGGGGGAGCCCCCGCAGTCCCCCTCCCGGCCCCTTCTGTGTGTGTGTGTGGGAGGGCGCTCAGGATTGCGTTTACTCAAGGAAAAGGCTCTTTCAAATTGTGGCGAAGAGAAAAATCAATGAAAATTGATAGAGAAATGGAAAGCAGCTGTCTGCTGTGTCTGAAACGCGTGCGCGCGCGCGTGTGTGTGTTTGTGTCCGTCTGAGGTGGGTATGGGCTCACCAGAAGCTGCTGCCTGGACCCAGTGTGACCCGCTTGGGCTCAAGGCCTGGGAGGGTGGGGGCTGGGCGTCAGCGCCCCGCACGTGCAGCTGGGGGGAGGGGCAGCAGCCGAGTCTCTAACTCGAGTTAAGGGAGAGATTAATATATTCAATCTGCTCCGGGGTAATTGAGGGAACAATTGCAGTGTTTTTCTTCAGCCCATAAAGCTGCCTCATTTGCAAGGAGGAGCTGCCTGGCTGCGGGTCTTGAGTTTGATGGAGGTGAGAAAGACGCAGGAGGGGAGGCTTCGGGGTCCCAGGCAGAGCGGCTGGAAGTCTTGGTCTAGCCGGGTCTCACCTTCTTCCCGTTCCACCACTTGGGAGGGTAGCAGCCCCTGCATTGCCTTCTAGTGGCGCCAGTCTCCCCACCTGTGACATAACCCGACTGACCCCTGCATCCCCTTCCCCCAGGACCATGGGAGAGAGAGGCTGCGTCCTGGGGACTGGCACTCAGAGGAAGGGGCATGGACCACGAGGTGCCCAGCTCTCCAGCGAGGCCAGCCCCCCCGGGATTCGACAGGCGGTAAAGAGTGAAGTTAATGAAATCCGCATTGTGCGCCTCTCCCCGCTTGAACCACTCCAGTCTCCAGGGCAATAGAAATAGCGTATGCAATAGCCAGCAATAAAAGGCATAATGAATTTAAAAGCAGGGTGGAGAGGGGAGTGGGGACTCTTCAGTAGTCTGGCCTGAAGGCCCAGTGTGCCTGGGGCTCGGGAAGCACTGCCTTGGAGCTCCAGCCTGCATCTGGAGGGGGCAGAGGGGCAGAGTGGGGCAGGGGAGAGGGAGCACAGAGGTCTAGGGACAGAGGGCAGAGGGGACACCAGGCAAGCCACGAACAGCTCCTGACTGCTCGCTGTTCCCCTCCACTTGTCCTTAATAAAAGCCCCCAACCTGGCGTCACAAACCCGCCATCAGAAGCCACAGGCTTGGAGCCAGGTGCTCCGCATTCGATGATTGCTTTATTAGCTTTTTCCTTCTCTTTCCCCCTCCAGGGCAAGAAGAAAAAGAAGTGTTTTAAATGGAAGGAATTAAAAAGAAAAATCTTAAAAGCGCCATTTGAAAAGCTCCTGGGAAACTGAATCCTTTGCACTAAACAAAACTGCGATTGTTTGGAAGAGGTGTGGGGGGACCACACCCTCCTCCTCCCGCTCCTGCCTGGGATCCCAGTGGTGAGCTGTGTGGGAGGGAGCCCCGGGATGGCTCCCAGGGCCTGGAGCAGGGAATATGTTCATGTTTCCAGCAATTTCATCCCTGGGGGGGTCTCCAGCCTGAAGTTTCCCTGTTACAGCTCCGCCAGGGGAAGGTTGTCCTTGACCCTTTGGAGATCTTTGGGAAGGTGGGCAGGGGTGTCTGGGAGCCCCAAGGCCTCTAAGAAACATTATTTGTCCTCAGAGGTCAGGAGATCATCCCCATGGCTCCTTGCCCAGTGCTGGATGGGCTGCTTTCCTTCTAGTCTGAAAACTGCCCCTGATCCTGGACAATAGAGGAAGGGGTGCTCGGTGGCCTGACATCTGGTCCCAGTGCTGCTAAGGGGATCTCAGGTAGGTCGGTGTGTGGGCTGATTTGGGGAGCCTGGGGAGTGACCTCCATCCCAGACATTGTGACTGTGCAAGCTGGGAACGTCTGTGGGGACAGTCCCTGGGGGACCCTGCCAGGGGAAGATTGTCCTTGACCCCCTAACCCCAAAAGATCTGCTCAGAGTAATTGATTGTTCCATTTCCAGAGGTGCTAGGATCCGGGGAATGCTGGAGGCAGCATTAGTGAGACTATCTAGGGCCAGGGAATCTGTGGGCCATGGCTGAGAAGGAAAACCATTCAGACTCTGAGACAGTCTTGAAGTTCACACAGGGCCCTGCCCTGGTCGCACACAGTGCTCTGTCTCCAACTCTATGGCTCATTCCTGAGCAAGCTGATCACTGTACCCGCAACCCCTTGCCTTCCACCGCCCTGTCCCTCACACCATGACCACTGTCAGTTCTGGTGGGAAAAAAATGACACACGATGCAAATTAGAGAACAACTTGGGAGACTACATTAAAGATCTCAGTTGAATAGATTCAACTGTTGAGATGCCCGACACATATCTTGGAAAGGGTGAAATCCATGCTGGGAAAACTTCCTGGGAGAGGCGGCCCTGGATATAGGTATTTGGAGCCCAGAAACCCATTCTTGGACTTGAACTGAGTCTTGCTGAGGCTAAGCTGTATCTCTAGCCCTCTCAATGCTTCCTACAGCTACCTGTCACCCTCTCCCCAACTCCTACATTGCCCCTTTCTCCTCCTCTTTGAGAACCAAAGAGCCAGGGGAAATCCTCCCCTTCTGGGCTTCCTGGCCTAGATTCACAAAGGAAGGGCAGGATGGTTTCGAGGGTCCTTGTGATTCTGGGTCATTTCCACTTCCCAAGGGAGCTGGCCACAAGTCCAAAGAACAAGGAGGGCCCACTGAGTCTGTTCTTGTTGTCCTTCCAGCTGTGTCTGAGCCTCCAGCGGCAGCAGCACAGAAAGACACCTGCCTGCCTTCTACAGAACCAGAACTGGAATTGGAACTGTCCTACCGAGTTCCCTGGCTGAAAATAAAGCCCTGTTCTCAAGCCCCTCCATTGTCTCCTCCCATCCCGGGCTATGATTGCTGACCCCCTGGAGGGGGCGATTTCCTTCTCCCTCCAAAGCCATTTTCTTGTCTTGGTAGAAGCAGACATCTGACACTTTAACAGGGAGTACGGCTCACAGAGATGATGGCTTTAAATAACAGAAATTAGAGCTGCCAGGGCCACAGCCATATCACAAGCCCCTTCCCTGCAGCAGCCCCCTCCCTGCAGCAGTCCCCTCCTCCCCCACACACCGTGCAAACTGCAGCCTGAAAGGAGCAGCTCCAGTGGCCAGGCCAGGCCAGGACCTGCAGAGCAGGGGACATCTTGTCCTCCAGCTCAGCCTCCTGCATTCCTGGTCCTGTGATAAACGGTAGAACGGCGGGACCAGGGGCCAGACTCTGAAGTCAGGGCGCTTGGAGGGACCAGCATGTCCCGGAGGAGTCCATCTCATCTCATCTCATTCTATAAGCTTAGCATGGGAGGCTTAAAAAGTATGTTGATTGACTTATGCATGAACAGAAGCCAAAGTGGGACATGGGGACTGGTTGGGGGGCCCCAGAAGAGGAGCTATCCCTGGGTCCCTAGCACAGACCGCCTGTTCCCTCTGCCTGTACCCCACCACCCATCCTGGCTTTCTTCCTGAGAGGAGTACTCCCTCTGCTTTTTTAGCCTCTGTACCTTTGTTTCCTACACTTTCTGCTTCCACCCTCGTTGGGCTCCACTTAGCTCCAAACCTGAGTGTTGCGGGGAAGAGAGGCCCCTCAGAAGCCCTGCGCCCTCACTGCTTTTGGGTGACAAATGTTTAAGCCAGTGGCACCCTGAGTTTAGGGGCTGACCCTGCTGTGGGTTCCTATTGCTACTAAATGGAATCAAATTCCTTCGGCCTCAGAGCCCACTTGCTGTGCCTGCTTCTCCTCTCTGGCTGTGAGGCCTACAGGACTCCCCACCGGGCTACAGAACGTGGCCACAGTGGGAACCCCTCTCCCTGTGCATCTCTGATGAGGACTGACCGTCTTACCTGAGGCTGCCAGAGTGCTGGTTTGGGGCTGAGGCCCTGCTGGTCATGGTGGGGGCTGGATGGGCTTGAGGGCAGGTACACAGCAGAGACCTCTGTGCTGTGGTCACTCAAAGCCTCCCTGGGAATCTGGTGGGAATGAATGTCATTGAAGTTGTGGACTACAGGGTCACAGGGGCCGCTCAACACCTGAGCAAAAATATTCCTGCCCACATGTATCCCTGCTCTGTGGGGTTTTGTTCCTTTTTTGGAGGCGAGTAGGATATTAGTTTTTATTTGTTTTCTTGAGACAAGGTCTCACTATGTAGCCCAAGCTGGCTTCGAACTCATGGTGATCCTCCTGCCTTAGCCTCTCGAATGCTGGAATTACAGGCAATGCACTACCATGTCCAGCTTGATACTGTACTAGGGATTGAACTCAGGGCCTTTTTACTACTGACTCAACCCTTTTTAATTGTGTTCTTTCTTTTGAGACAGGACCTTCCACAGAGTTACGAAGTCGCCCAGGCTGGGTTTGAACTTGTGATCCTCCTACCTCAGCCTCTGAGTGTTTTGTTCCATTTTTTGGTCCCTTTAGACCAGGACCTCTAAGTCTATCCTCAGACAGCAGGCCGCCCTGAGGGTTGGAATCAGCCTAGAAAACTGCATTGCCTTATTTAGTAAAGGGCTGGAGCTGCCAGGCTTATCAGAGAGGCTGTGACTTGGGTATGGGACACATGGCACCTGAGCAGGGACCCCAGGGGCACTCACCTGCAGCTGGGGCTCTGGACATGATGACACCATTCTTGGCTGGAGGGACCCCAGGCCCTGGTGCACATGGAAGGCCACCTTGTAGGCCAGGCCCCCGCAGTGGCGGGCCGTGGGGTCTGGGCCAGCCCGAAGCAGAGCCAGGCTGCCATGGTAGCGGTACAGGTCCTCATGCTCTTGCGCCGTGAGGTTCATGGGGGGCTGCTCAGGCCGTGGGTAGATGGGGAAGATGGCCTGACCCACACACTGCTGGCGCCCCTGGCCCGCCGCTCCACCCAGCCTTAGGACCTCCACTCGCAGCCGAGCATCATGCTGCCCATCATTCTTACAGAAGCCTGTGTGGAGGATGAGCTCAAGTAGGGGGTCTCCCTAGCTCGTCCACAGGATGAGGAACAGGCAGGGCCCTGGGCAACTTTGGGGACCCGGTGACCCTCTCTCCACCCCTGCCGTGGCTCCCTCCATTATCCATGTGGGGTACAAGCCCACTGGAGTGATGAGGGAGCACCCAACCTATGGGTCCTCACCCACCCTGGACAGGACTTCAGTCTACCCCCTGGCTTCTGGCTACTAAAGTCTGGGACTTGGCCTCCCCAATTTCTCCACCCCCACGGTTTCCTGAGGAACCTCACAATCATAGCTCTCTGCTCCTGTAGAGGGGTCCTGCCTCTCTACCTGGTCTGGAAGCTTCGGACAGGGACACCTGGGTGGGTATCCTTGTCTCTGTTCCCCTACCACGAAGCACTCAGGGCTGGTTCTAGTGCTACCTGGTGTCTCATCCTCTGCCCGTGACTACTCTAAGCCTGCTTGAGTTCCTTGCAGTTCACTTCTGCTCTTTCATCCTCTCCTCTCCTGACCCTGTGTGACCAGCGCCAGCATCCCTGTGGCACCCTAAGGAGGCAGGGCTCACAGAGGTTTCCCACGGTCACAGAGGAAGGGATGTGGGATGCAGTTCCCTGTTCCTGAGGGTCCCCAGAGTCCCCAAGCTGGGCTGGGGCAGAAGTTCCAGGGACCTTCTCTCGACTGTCCTATCCCCACCCCGTTTTGTACCTTTGGGTAAAGTAAAGACAAACTTGTTCCTGGTGAGGGTGAGGCTCCGCCCAGGATGCCGCTGCTCAATGACATCGGTGACAGCAGAGCAGACTGGGAGGGGGTCCCCATCATTCACTCGCAACTGCACCCCAGCCCCAGAGCCTTCCTGTAGAGGATTCTCAGCAGACAGCCGCAGGGTGTATCTGCCCTCCTCATTGAAGCCCACACTCAGGACCTCAAACTCCAGATCCAAGGTCTTCTCCTCGGCCTTCAGCCTCTGGCTGAGCTGGGTTGCAGGGAGCCAGGGCTCAGGGCCCCTGAAGGCCATGGTCATGGGCAGGAGCTGACCCCAGGATGAGCACTGCCCCCTTCCTGCCACAGCCCCATCCTGGGTAAGTCTGAAAGCCTGCAGGCTGGGCCCTCCACTGTTTGTTTGCAGAGAAACTAGGCAACAAGCCAGGAAGCTGGGCCTCACTCACCTGGAGAGCAAAGGCAGCCAGTAGCTCCACCGTTTTAGCATTTGCTCCAGCACCTACTGTGTATGTGGCACTATTTTAGGCATTTGAAATATAGCAGTGAATCCAAAGTTTTTGCCCTAGTGAGGATCCTTACCTTGTAGTAGAGGAGGCAGGTGGTAAAGACAAAATGAACATGAGATATAGAAAATAAGTAACTCATGGTGGTGCTAGATGTTAAATTCTAACATTAGGGCAGGAAAGCAGGGCCTGATGGTACACACCTGTCATCCTGGTACTTAGAAGGCTTGAGGCAGGAGGATCACCACAAGTTTGAGGCCAGCCTGGGCTACTTAGTGAGCTCAAGGCCAGCCTGTCCCAAATAAACAAATAAACAAATAAACATTAGAGCAAGATCAGAAATGAATGCCACATGGTACCTGGTCTGTGGTACTCAGAGTGTCCTGTTTCTGTGGAGACCATCTCTATGTGCTATGCCTTTTATTCCCAAGAATCCTTGTCCTGGGTTTGGAGACCATGAGGAGGGGCCCTCCAGCCTGCCTCTGCAGCCAGGTCACAGCCTGAACCAGCACTCACAGCATGGGGCCCAGCTCAATTCTACCTATACGCAGTGCATAGCCTCTCATACCAAAGAGTTGTTGAGCTGGAGTCCTCTTCCCTGACCCAGGTCTTGCTGATGCCCAGTGGGAACTGGGAGGTTCTGGATACTCCTCAGTAAGGACTGTCTGCTCCCATTGCCACTGTCACTACTACCACCACCACTATCCTCACCACCCACATCAGCACCATCACCAGCTTACCACTGCTATCACAATCACCTACCCTTAGCATCAGGTCAGCCCACACCACCACCATCACCCTCACGGCCACCATCACTGCCATTACCACTGCTGCCTCCCCACCACTGTCATCCTTGACAATGTCATCATCGACATCATTAATGAGACTTTTCATTAAGTAGCTGCTGGGCACCAGGCAGTCTGTGTGGCTCTCTGAGGCAGGTATAATTATTTCCTGTTTCTTCAGTGGAGAACCCGAGGCTGAAAGAATTAGACCCCTCCCAGTTCATATGGCTAGTAAGAGCTGAGATGACAAACTAGGAATCTTGTCTACACTCGCCTCTATTAAACATGTCCTGGGACGAGTTCAAAGATAGGAACTCATTCTCTTAGGGAATTTTATACCAACAATGCGGAAGGACACTTCTGAGTCTGAAGAGAACACTTAGGTACAGCATAGACTGTATTAAAAAGAAGTTCACTTAGAGTTATGCTGGCCAGGATGCACCACTTCCATAAAGGGGAGATGCCAGTCGAAAGATGGCATGGCCAACCCAGCTGAGGGTCTCAGCGTATACGTTAGGCTTCCTTTGCAATGACTGAAACTCACTTTCTTTGGGTTCCCAGAGGTAACGGAGGTCCTGAGCTGTAGGTGAAGTTCAACAGATCCCATCTCTCTGGTTGTTCTGTGCACTGGGTGGGAGTTAAGTCCGCCCTCAGCTCAGTGATCTGAAACTCTAAGGCACCCTGAGAAGGGCCACAGGATGGCCATGACAGGGAGAGGGTGGGTGGATGAGGCTGCCCGAAAACCACCATCCCTATGGCGGTGCTTGGCTGGCATGGCCTTGGACATCATGATGAGGGGGAGCAGCACTTTTCCCTTGCATGTTTGAAGCGACCCCCCAGGAGGCTGCAACAAGGGTATCTGCTCCCTCTGCCCTACGGCCATCCTCTGCTCCCCAGCCCCATGCCCTGCAAGCCAAGACTATGCCCAGAGTCTGTCTTCCCCAGTGTGTGTCCCTGTGTTCCCTCTCCACTCTCCCTTCCCCCTCCATCTTTCTACAATGCCTTGGAGGTGGCTGTATCAGCCTTAGTGTGGCTTAGAGCCCTCCACCATCTGGCATCTACACCCTGTTTCCTACCCTGTCCCCAAGGAAGCCTCACCTTTTTATGGTATGTGCATGTGGTTACTTAAAAAATAAACTATGGTAAAATAGCGTCACATAAAATTTACCATCTGAACCATTTTCAAATGTGCAGTTTAGTGGTGCTAACTATATTCACCTTGTGCAATCAATCTCCAGAACTCTTTCCGTCTTATAAAATGGAAACTCTATCCATTCAACAACAGCCGCCACCATCCCCCTCCAGCCCTGGAGCCGCCCTTCTACTCTCCTTCCCCTAGAATCTGACTGCTCCGGGCACTCACGTGAGTGGAGCCCTCCGGCATGTGTCCTTTTGTATAACCGGCTCCTTTCAGAAGGCAGAGTGTCCTGGGGAAGGACATTTGCTCAGGCCAGGCTGCCCTTTCCCCCTCCTGCCCTTACTGCTGCTGCTCCCTCTGCCTACACTGCCCAGAGCCTCCAGGCAGTCCTGCTCCTCCTGCAGCCTGGTAAGCATGGCCTGTGACCAGGCATGACTCTGCCCTTTCCTTTCCTGTCCCCAGTGATGACCTGTGGTTGCTGGATGGAATGTTCCTTCGGGGCAGGGCTGAGTGCCTGGGGGACAGCTAAAGCATCATGGATGGGTGGGTATGCTCGATGGACGGATGGATGGATGAATAAGTTGAGAGATAGAAGGATATATGCATTGATAATCGCAGCTCAACTTCTATTTGTGGGTTCCATCTATGAGAAGCAAAGACCATTCTGGGCTTTTGAATCAAAAACTTGGCCTCAGAGATGCATCAGGTGCCCCCATGGTTCAGCTGGTTCAGTGGTGAGAGGGTGAGTGGTAGGGCAGGAGGGAGGGGCCTTTGATGCTTGGGCTGCCCTAGACTGGCCTTAGTTCTACAGAGAAAGCCTGGCACCATGAGGGAATGTCAGCATGCTGGGGCGGAACGGCATTCCACTTTATAGCTGAGGCTGGAGGAACAGGGCAGATCCCTGCCCCCACCCCAGGCTTCTTTCCACTCCTAGTTACCTCCCTGGCTGAACCTCTGGCAGCTCTCCAGGGGTCTAGGCACCGGAAGTGGCTGTTGCTGGGGGCCAGGGGCAGGAGGTATGTGGTGGTAGCCCAGAAGGATGACTTCCCAGCCACCTCTGCCATCCAGCGTGGGAAATGCATTGGATCCCTGAACTCCTCTCTCTCTTTAGCATAAGAGAGACCACTTGAGTCCTGGCTTTGTTGGAGGAGCTGGGCCTGTAATTAGGCCAACGGGTGTGTGTGTGGGGGTAGGCTCTTCCTGTTCCTACAATGGCTTCTTTCAACCTCCCTTGCTGCTACCTCGAGGGCCCCTTGGGCTCTTGGACCCCAATCCTTAAGGACCCACCTACCACTCCTGGCTTGGCCTCCTCTCTAAGCTGAACCCTCCCTGCAAGCTGGACATCAGTGAGTCCTGTGAGTGCGACCTTACCCGGGCTGCAACCTTGCCCCTGTCACGAGGAAGAAGTGGCCTCCAGAGGTCAGGTGGGTGGGGACAGCGGTGGGGTTGCTGCCATTCCACGGGATCTGTAGCCCCCGCCCCTCTGCAGCGTCCTCACCCTCACAGGCCCTACCCTTTGCTTCAGGGCTGAGGCCACAGGTTAGGGAGTGACTTCAGCCTGGGGCTGGCAAGGTGAGGCATGCTACCTTTGTCACCACTTTGTCACCATGGCACAGATGGAAAAATGTGGCCCGGAGCCTGGAAGGTCTGTGTCACTTGGCTACTAAGGAACAAGGACAACGTTAGAGACCTGGGCTCTTCTTCCCTCCACTGAGTGTCTGGCCAAGGGAGTCTCTCCCTAAAATAGTACCCGTCACCCTGTCCAGACACAGGCAGTAACTGCTTGGGCCTCCGAGAAGCTCTCTTGTCCTAGCTTAGCTGGGTACAGCTGTGGGAGGGGCCTGCGTTACATGGGGATCCCCGGTTCCCCTACCAACCCCCTCCTCCAGCCTGGTCCCCAGGGGCTAAAGTTCCTGGGCTGGAGGGAGGGGGGCAGCGTCCCTGCAGCGTCAGCCATGCTGGCCTTGGCTTTCATGCACCAGACAATTGGCCAGGCAGGCTCCCAGTGTTCATCCCAGCGGGGAGGCCACCTTGGGGCTCTGAGACCAGCGCCAGCTGTCCTCCAGCACCACTGGGGACAGATAGCAGGTAAGGGGCAGGAGGAGCAGAGCTAATAGGGCTGCCCCAAGTCAGCCCAAGCTGGCCCTGGGTCAGACTGAGGTGGGGGCAGGGGCCAGCTTGGAAAAGGTACTGCCTGAAACTGTTAGGAGGAGAGGGACAAACTTTGTAGCCAAACAGAGAGAGAGAGAGAGACAGAGACAGAGACAGAGACAGAGACAGAGACACAGAGGGTGACAGAGAGGCATAGAGAGAGAGACAGGAAAAAAGGAAAAGACAGAGTTGTAGAGAGACACACAGTTAAAAAGAGAAACAAAGAGACCGAAGCTTAACTGGGCAGCACACAGTTGCAATCTCAGTGAGGCTGAGACAGAAGGATTGCAGTTTGAGTCCACCCTGGCCACTTCAGCTAGACCTTGTCTCAAAATAAAAAATTAAAAAAGGGCTGGGAATGCAGCTCAGTGCAAAGGCCCTGGGTTCAATTGCTGGTACTGCAAAGGAAAGGAAAAAAAAAAACAGGCAGGAAAGAAAGGTAGGCAGTCGGAGTCACACAGAAAGGGTGACATTAATGGGGATAGAAAGAGACTGGTAGACAGGGCAGACAGAAGGACAGTGAGATAGAAAGAATGAAACCCAACAGGGGAGTGGACAGAGGCTGATAGAGGACAATTGTGCTGAAGGGTACGCCCCGGCCTGCTGTTTAAGCAATTTCCTGCCGGGTGTCCCTACCACAGAGCAGAGCAGAGGCCACACTCTAGGAAGGGAGGTTCCTGGGGAGAGGGAGGTGGGCTCTGTGATGGACCTGGGGGTGGAGCGGGGGTGGGGGCTCTGGCTAAACTTCCAGCTCTGCTGCTGAGCCTGGCACCCAGAGATCTCCCTGGGCTTAGGTTTC